TTTTGGATTATGCAATGTACCTCATGTTATAAAAGATCTTTTTTTTTTAGTAGAGGGTTTTACGGCGCTCGCAACTGCAGAAGGTCATATAGTTTGTGTTTTTTTATAGTAGAGGGTTTTACGGCGCTCGCAACTGCATAAGGTCATATGAGCGCCAAGGGGTGGGTGTCAACAGAGAAGTCTTTACAGGGAATCAGACTTACTCTGCTCACCTCTCTAGCTTCAACAGCACAAGGTCTGCTTTGACTATCAAGGCACCCCAAAATAGCAGGTCACAAGAGAGTGACAAACATACAATAGAAGTAGGGGATAATGAAAATAGTAAGAAAAAGCAACAGTTCCCTGTTGCAGATCAGGCACAGTTATGAGCATGACATGATGAATCAGCCCATTTACCACTCTACTGTGCTTGAACGAGAAATGTCCCCCCTTTTGGAATGGCCTGAAGACACTACAGCCAGTGCCACTGCCCCGGGGGGGTTAAAACATCTTTAAAAATGTATTTTAAAGTTAAAAAAACTCAAGTCCTTGTAAATATCGATATAGGAATGGTTTAAGAATCCATTTTTAATGGAACTTAGTTTTTGTCAAATATTTTATTTTTGACCTTTGAAGCCTGATTACCCCCTGGTGGGGGGGGGGGGGGGGGGCAGTGCCGCTGACTGTAGTGTCTTTAGGCCATTCCCAAAGGGGGGACATTTCTCGTTCAAGCACAGTAGAATTGTAAATGGCTGATTCATCATGTCACACTCATAACTGCCTGATCGGCAACGGGAAACTGCTGCTTTTTCTTTCCTAATCCTTACTAATGTCATTTTCCTCTACTTCTTTTGTATGTTTGTCACACTCTTGTGACCCGTTATTTCCGGGATGCCTTGATAGTCGAAGCAGACCTTGTGTTGTTGAAGCTAGAGAGGTGACCACAGTAAGTCTGATTCCCTGTAACGACTACTCTGTTGACACCCACCCCTTGGCACTCATATGACCTTATGCAGTTGCGAGTGCCGTAAAACCCTCTACTAAAAATAATAAAAAATAAAAAGAAGCCTGATATCTCAGTTCGAGCAAATGCATCTTTTGGTACCTTTCACCAGGCACGCTCACAAATCATTTGAATATGTTATTAAGAAATGGTCAAACTACTTAAACGTGTATTTTCAGAGGGAACTAAATTTTTGACCAGGTATGACTTTCTTGGTCTTTTCACCCCATTGCTCAAAAATAGCTTTGCCGACAACAAGGACCTTTCCCCAGGCAAACACACATATTTTGGTGGCATATCAATTGTCACTAGACACCACAACACCATGATATTGATAAAGGCACAAAAGCTATCAATAAAAACACAAGAACCAGAATTGAGAAATATAAAGAAGACAATACGTGTCTAACAAAGTCATATTTTTCAAGACACGAAGTAAACATTACTGGTACCTTACGTTATTTATAGAATCATACTTCCTTTCAAGAAGTACTCTAAACACAAAATATGACCACTCACAAGCTGGTAGGCAGCAATATGAACACAAGAACACAAAATGGTGGCTTCAAAGAAGAACATGTCAATAAAACAATAACTGATTCTAACCTATTGGGTGATAGGTACGACTTATGTTGTGCTTGCTCTTGGGCGAAGCTTATCTTGTGCCGGTATCCCATGTCATAGAAAATGTTATAATTTCTTTTCATTGCACCAGCATCCATATATGCCCAAAAATTGATGAGCGTCTCAAGCTACCAGTACCATGTCGTGACTGATATGTGAGGCAGCGTGGTGAAATCAGGCGCTCGTCAAAATAACAAAATCTGAGAAACAGGCATTTTCCGCTATTTTGGAACTTTTTATTGAATTTTCACTTTTTGGCCTAACCTTGTTTATGTCATATAAAAACACATTTCCATGTGAATTTTTTTTACTGAAAAACATTGAATTAAGGCAGAAAATATTTCACTTTTCAGTTTTCAGACTCTTTAGCTATTGGGGTTACCAAAACTTTTGCGGCCATTTTCTCGCTAATTTCACCACTGAAACCACGTGCCCTCACTTCCTTCAAATGCAGATATCCTGAGTTCTATTCAAGATAAATAAACATTTATTCCATTGGAAGCAAATCAAATAAATCAATTTTCAGATGATCCAATAACTCTACATGCCTAAAAATTGACGAGCGCCTGATTCCACCACTTCGTGACACATGTCTTTTAAAACGCTTGACATCGCTTTATCAAATTGTTCAACTTGTTGACAACAACAAGAACAGATCCTATCATATGGATCAGGCCATTCCTTGTCCACCTCAGAAGGAAGTTTTCAGATGATTGTATGCCACAACAAAACCCAAGTTTTGATGAAGCCATGTGTGCATTCACATACCTTTTTGCTTCAAGGTGTACAACCTCCAAAAAATAGCAAAGTTTGGGCATGAAGAGATACAATATGAGGTGTGCAAGTCAGAGTGTGTACATTAAAATTTGTTGAGTATGAATGTCTACACTGGGGCAGGGGCGGAGGAAGCTTTTTTTTTTCATTGGCTGAAGTATCAGAGAAATGCTGTACCACAAGAGAACTGGTAGTAGCTTGGCTAGTCTTCTGTGGACTGCTCAGTAAAGGCCATCACATTTATTTGCGCAACTATGTCTCACTGGAACTTTTTGATGGACTGTATGTACATAATGCAGGTGCATGTTTTAGTTTTAGTTGAGGTTTTACGGCACTTGCAACACAATAAGGTCATATAAGTGCCGAGGATTAGAGGTGTTACAGGAGAGTAATAAACACAAAAAGGAAGAAGGGGAGATAAGGACGATAGATGTTTGAAAGGAAAGAAGGAGCAAACCCCATCAGAGCACCCGCCAACTACCCACTCAGGCGCAGGTGGCACACTGACAACCAGCAGAAAAAGCATGGCAGGCTCGCTTCTTTAAAAATACTGCAATAAAGCTCACCTGAGATGAAACTATTTTTAGAGAAAGGCAACCAACTTGTCCTCAGATATATGGACAAACGAGATGTTCAAATGCTGAGCACAATTTTTTACATTAATCCAGTCAAACTCAACAAGAAGGATCGTGAAGGGAGTTCTTTTGTGAAATCAGACGTGATTGTTCAATACATAAAAGGAAAGGGAGGTGTCAATCTGAGCAATTAACGCATAAACAACTATTTGTGCATTGGACGGTTGGTGGAATGGTAGAGGAAACTTTTTCTGCCTGTTTTTTTCAACCTAGCGCAATTCATGCATCTTGCACAAGAAGACAGTGAGAAATCCTTTGGACCATTTGGAGTCCAGAAGCGAGATAGTTAAATCATTGTTGTTGGCAACACTGGGCAACCCAAGACCTAGCAGCGGTAGAAAATTATCCAAGTTGCCAGAGAGGCTGAACAAAAATTTTACTTGCTTCCTGAAGTAGTCAAAGCCGGGGGCCAAGAAAGTGAAGCCTATGGGAGAATGTGTCAGTGTCATGTGTAATGTGCCTAAAAAGGCCTGAAATAGTTGAAAAAGAACACAAACATCATTCGAGTGCAAACACTGTAAAGTTCACCTCTGCACTCCGAGGTGCCATGAAATGTTCCACGCAAAACTGGGATTTGGAATACAAACCGAGAAACCATTCTCGTACAACAGTAACAAGTGAGTAACAATTAAACATCTCTCTCGCTTGCCAAGTGTTGTGTTTATGCTGTTGTTAATTTCTGATTATTTTGGTGCGCATTTTGTGTCTCTGTCTTCAACATTTTTTAAAGAATTTTTTATTTTTTGGTAACATCACTTTGTTATAACAGAATGCACTCAAAACAATCCACTGCTGGGGGAAAAACCACCCAAAGAGTTCAGCAGTATGTCACAAATAATGATCATGAGGTAAGCCAGCCCTATTTTGACATTTTTAAGGAACAAATTAAATATATGTGTGTGTGCCTAAAGAAAGGTACAAAACGTTGCCACAGAGAGTTTTGAGCTACAGGCTTATAATGACAAAAAAATCACTTTTTTGACCAAAATGCTTTTCTATATAAAAAATGATAGTTCAACCATTTTTTAACAATGAGTAAAAAGGGTTTTCATTGATTTGACTTCTAAATATTTTATTTTGAATAATTTGAGACTAAGTTATTTTTTAAAGATATAACGAAAACTTCTTTTAGAAGGTGTTAAAATCTATTCTTGAAGCATGTTTTCTCTTCCCCACTACGTTTTACCATTGAATTCTAATCATGATATTGATGTAAACTGAATGCCAAATTGAAAATGAACTTTCCACCAAAAAAAATACATTAGAAACAATTGAATCAATTTTTTTCAAGTTTGTAAGTGTCCTAAACTTAAAAGCTAATTTTCTCAATATTAGACCTTTATATCCTACCTCACAAAATGTGCAATATCTAAAAAACTACTTGAGATACCTCAAAAATTCAAAAAACCACTGAGTAACCCTTAACTCAAAATTATAAAAGTCTGACTTTTTGTACCTTTCTTTAGGCACACATACGTCATAGTCAACACAACTTCATATCGTCACGCTCATAAGATAATTTCTAAGTCGTTTTTGGCCAGTTCGTAGTTTTCGATTGTGAAATGAAGAGCACAGCCAGTTTGGTAATATAGTTCACTTGGTCAAAAGAATAATGCAAACATAAAATCAATTGAGTGTACCAAAATTCAAGTGTTTTACGAGTCAATTGTTCGAAAGAAACAGTTTTAGTTTTAGTAAGGTTTTACAGTGCTTGCAAATGCATACGGTCAAATGAGCCCCAAGGGGTGGATTTCAGAATGAGGAGTCAGGCTTACTCTGATCACCTCTCCAGCCCCAACAGCGCAAAGTCTGCTTCAACTATCAACTTCAAGGCACCCCGGAAATAGCGGGTCACAAGAGAGTGACAAACATACAAAAGAAGTAGAGGAAAATGATGATAGTAAGGATGAGAAAAGAAAAAGCAGCAGTTCCCCATGTTGTTCCGGCACAGTATGAGCATGACATTGATAAATCAGCCCATCTACTGTGCATAAGAACTTTGGGAATGACCAAAAGACAACTTCAGTCAGTAGCACTGCCCTGGTGGGGCATCGAAAGAAAGTTTTTACTCATTTTCTCAAAATGGCTAAAAATGACATAGACATTTATCTTATGAGCATGGCGACATTTCTTGTAACAAACATCTATATTTACAGTACTGACTGTATTTGAGCCCTGCAGTAATTTACAAGATAACAAAAACCAACAAGATGAGAAGGAAGACCAACAATCTGTCTCAACTCCGAATAATTGAAGGCAGCTGCTCACTCTGACTTCTCTTCAACAAAGCTGCTAGCTTGGAGGACTTGAGTGCAGATGTCTGCAATTTAAGTGGGCTTGAGTCGTCTAGCAAAGACTTCATACCAACTCGCACCTTAGAATCATCATCATTATTTTTTACAGAAAGTTGACATTCTGCCGAATGTTCCTTTTCAGATGATGTTTCAGTTCCTCCATTAACAAAAGAGGAAGAGGAAACAGTATCGGCGGGGTAGTCATTAGCCAGAGACTGGCAGAACAACTCCGAAGCCATCCTTATGGCCTCTTTCCTGTTTCCAAGCCTAGGGGAATCCCACTCGACATCTTCCTCACTTTCATTAAGAATCCTTCTGTTAACACCATTTTGTTTACCAAGTCCACCCATCCAGTTTTTCAACATACCATTATTACTATGCTTTTTACCAGGTGACGGTAGAGGTCCACAGACTCTGACGTCCACAACAGGGCACAACTCCTCTCTACATTTCATCTTTTCTCTCAAAGCTCGACCTAGACTAAGAAGCGTTTCACCCGCGACCACAGGCTTCGAAGCTTCATCGTTTCCATCTGAGCTTACATCAGACAGACTGCGACGTGGCTTAGAACCTATCTCATCATTTACATCTGAAGAAGACGCTCTCCCACTGTCAAACTCGGAAAGAGGAGATGGAACACTCTTTGACGGCACTATGCTCTGCTCATCGATTCCCTTGGGATTTTTCTTAGGGGAGAGACCCTGAGGACTCTTTTTCCCCCCGACTTTCAAACTTCTCTTCGAGGTACTGCCTCTCTGACTCTTCTGTTCACAGAAGTTTTGACTTCCTGTGGGGCAGCTGTATCTCTCAGTGTAGCTTTTTTCCTTCCGTGTATTAAGTTCATTCCTCCCCCCTGTTAATTCTGCTACATCACTGACAGTTTTCCCACACACAGCTGATGATTGTAGAATGGAATTAGAAGAGGACTTGGCCTGAGGTGAATTCTCAAGGGAATATCCAATACACTTTGGCAATTCCAGAAATCTGCAAGCCTCCTCTTGAGCAGAGTCTGCACTGCTCTTCAGTTTACTCTGTTGCATTTTCTTGCTGCCATCAACAGTGGCTGTTGGTAGATCCAAATCACCGTCACGTAATTTTTTGCTGCTACTGTTCACCAGTTCACTAGATTCAGAGTCCAGTAATCTTGACACCGTCTCAGAAATTTCCATAGATTTTGCTAGAAACATCTTGGACAGCTGACAATTATCTATGCCTTTATCTTGCTCCCTGAAACACACAAAACAATAAGAAATTGTTGAAAATTAAAAGAATTCTTTGAAACAAGTATTCTTGTTAAATGTCCTGAGGAAAAACGCTACTGGGAGACATGTTTACTCATTAACAAGCAGTAAGGTGAGAAAGAAAAATATAAGGAGAAGCAGGTTGGTATAAATCAGTGATTAATTCTTTTTTTCATAATTCCCTTTTCAGATCCCCGTTTCACCTTTTTCTTCTTCTGTGTGATCCTGCTAGAGCTCAGGAGGTAAGGGCATGTAAGATCATCTCTAAGTACAGTTGATTGATTTTTAAATATGGGCCATTTTATCTACCGTACATAGAACATAGAATCATCCCTTGCCTAACAGGCAGCTAGTGCCATTTCCGAAGGGAATCTTAATAGGCTCTTAATATTTATGCCAACTAGAGTGACTTCAGCTTTGGGTCAGAATCTATTTTGAATGTAGCCTGAAGGGCCTTCTCTCCTACTCTTTTTTAAATTTTTCAACAGCTAAGGAATAGACTTGCAAAACTAGCACACAGGATCTCCAAAATAAATTTTTTGTCCATATCTGAGAAGACTAGGTGCTCAATCCTACCTACCCTAAGACAGGGGGTTTCGAAAAAATGAAGGAAAAAAAGTATCAAACAACGGACATCCAGTTGACAAATGAACACCATGCATGTCGAGCTACTGAGCCCCCCTCAATTTCACCTCATAATCATAATATGTGTGTATAATATATTCAATTAGCGAGTTTATTTGGTATGGCTCTACATTTAGGCCACGCAGGCACTGTGGGTCAGGAATGAGCAGACATACAGACAAATAATTTCAAAAAGGAAAGGAATTTGGTCACAGGAGACAGGTAGGTGTTTTGGGCATCTTAGCTACAAAGCAACAAAACAACCAAGAAGGATGAGAGACACTGGCACATAAGACGAAAAAGGAAGTTAAATGAGCAGCAGAGCCCACAGAAAGAGAACAAAGCAAATGAAAGGCAGCAGCAACCAAATTGTTGCTATTAACAACATCAGAGCACCTCTTTAGACGTCAACTCTTCAAACCAGTTGAGCCAGTAACTTGGACAGAACAAATTAAAATCGACCATGGAAATTTTAACAGCCATGTTTCAAGCATAAATGTTTGGAGAATTTGAACTAAAAACCAGAAAAACATTCTTAAAAGTAGTAACATGGGTGAAGGCATTCTTATTCTTTTCGTTGAAAAGTCATTTTCTTTTCATTCCATACTGCCCCATGTCCTGATTTATTGGTGGCATGCGGACATTAAAAATATTTGTTTACAGGAAATATCTCATTGCTCCTGGCAAATTCCATCTAAATCCAGGAAAGTCAACATAAGTTTTTGGTTTAGTTTTAGTAAGGTTTTTGGGCGCTCGCAACTGCATACGGTTATATGAGCGCAAAGGGGTGGATGTCACCAGAAGTCCAAGCTTACTCTGCTCACCTCTCCAGCCTCAACAGCAAAAAGACTGCTTCAACTATCAAGGCACCCCAGAAATAGCAGTTCACAAGAAAGTGACAAACAAAGTAAAGGAAAAAATGACGATAGTAAGGATGAGGAAAGAAAAAGCAGCAGTTCCCCCAATGTTGTTCCGGCACAGTATGAGCATGACATTGATAAATCAGCCCATTTACAATTCTACTGCGCAAAAGAACATGTTAATATCCCCCCTTTGGGAATGGCCTAAAGACACTTCAGTCAGTAGCACTGCCTGGGGGGGGGGGGGGGGAGTGTAGTCAACATAAACAATGAAGCCTTTACGAGAAGTCCTCACAACAGCTGATGACTTATCCATCAACACCACGAGACAAAAAGAAGAAAAGTAGAGGGAAAAAAAAAAGACTCACCATTTAGACAATTCACAAGACACGCGTTTCATGCTCAGCTGAGTCCTGCTGGATACTGGACGGCAGTGCACACGCAAATTCTCTGCTCCTCCTGTCATCTCGACCGTGTCAATCAGTTGTAAGGCCCGTATTGCACCTAGACACAAAAGCAAAAGAAGAATTAACCTATAAATAGTACTATTGGTAGATGTAAAGGTGAACTAATCATGAAAATGTGCGTGTGCCAGGAGAAAGGTCTGTTTTTGAAAATTCTGGATTTTGAAATAAGGGCATATTCTTTAGACAGATTCAATGCAGGTCAAGCTGATTTTTAAATTTTTCAAATGTACTGAGTATTTTTAAAGTATGCCACATTTTGTAATATATGGGGTGTAAAAACAAAGTTTGGAGAAAACCCCAATTTCTAGCACATTTAACCTTGATGAAGTACAACATGCTGCAAAAATAATGAATAAAAAATTTAATTTAGCCTTAAAATATTACGAATTCCACTCAGTATGCTATTAAGAAATGGTTGAACTTGTGTTTTCTAATGGAACTAAATTCTAGACCAGTTCTTAATTTTTTGGCTGTTTCAAAAATAACTTTAATGAAAACTGGAATCTTTCTCCAGGCATACACACAAATGATGAATAACACCAGAAGCAAAAACTGTGTAACACTTGAACATGTCAGAGACACAAAATTTTGACAGAAAAAAAAAGGTGGTAATTATACAAGTTTTACAGAAACTCCTTCCTCCCATCCCTATCCTAGCCAATACCCTTTCTGCAGCAAAATACAACTTTTAAAAACCTCCACCTTGTTCAACACGGAACTGGGATGAGGGGCACATGCTCAAAGATGGAACTGGGCAGAAGGGCACATGCTCAAAGACTACAGGATAAACAAAAACAATACAAGGTTATTTGCAAATGTGTCACAGGGGCCTGTATTTTAAACATGAGACAGAAGTGTTCCTGGTTTCTTCAGTGCTCTCTTGTAAGCAGATGTTAAAACTCACTGACTGCCAGGCCCGTGGAGCCTCAATAGCCATGGTCTGCCGGGGTCTTTAGAGTGTTTTCAAAAAATCATAACTCAAAAACTATAGTACTTAGGTATTTGAAATTTTGTGTGCTGTGCATTTACATGCTTTAGTGTACTCATGCCAAATATCTTTTCAATATAGGCAATAGTTGTGTTTTTGAAAAATGGTCAATTTAGTACTATTAGATCTAGATCTAGATCTAGGATTAGATCCTGGCGCACTACTAGATCTTGCACTAGAATCAGGTAATCTTTGCCTTCTTTTACCTTCCCGAACACAAAATGATGGGTCAGCATCGCTATCAACATCTAATTCACCTATTTCAATGTCTGATCCAACACCATGAAAAGGCTCATCATCACTTTCGTCCGCAAACGCATCAAAAATATTGCGGCGCTTCTTGGATGCCAAAGTAGTGAAATGACAACAGAATTGACAATATGCATGGAATAGGTCTCTTGGGGAAAAAAATCACCAAAAAAAACCCAAAAGCGTAAGGTCGATAACTCTAGCAATTTATCACGTCGCAATGGCTTCACTAATTGCTGTAAACTGCCACACTCAATTGCAGTCCAGGATGAATATGGAACAAAATTATAAAGTCCATACCGGAGGGCCTCCGGGTTCAGCAATTTTATTACGTAACCTTATCCCTGATACGCCCCGGTAACGGCAGTCAGTGAGTTAATAAGCATAGAATTATGAACATAATAAAAACACACCATCTGACTTTTTTCTTTTCTTTTTCTTTTGGTAAGTGTTTTACGGCGCTCGCAACTGCATAAGGTCATATGAGCGCGCGGGACACACCTAATATTTCCAGTTGGTAGGAAATCTTGAATTTTGCCCGAGTGGCGGCCGAAGCCTACTCTTATCGATTTTAGACCACCAAGGGATCTTTAACGAGCGCAACTTGCACACTGGCCCTCCAAGATTTTTCACCCTTGTCCGAGAAGGCTAGGTGTAGATCTTTCCTACCAGAAAATCAGGGGTGTGGCTGAAAGACAGCAGTAAGAAGGAGCCCAGGAGTAGCAGTAGAAAGGCTGCAGAAGGAGTCAGGAGCCCAGAGGAGGGGGCGAAGAAGGTGAGGGGGAGGGAGCAGAAAGAGGAGATGAAACAAGACGACAGAACATTGTTAGAGAGCAGAACAGGAGGTGAAAGGAGACAATTTTAGAGAAGAAAATTTGTTGGTTGCAACCCGGATTTGAACCCGGGACCTTTGAATGAGAGGCCAACACCTTAATCTCTAGGCCACGAGAGCCCCCCTCATCTGACTTTGATGGATGACAGGAAGCAGATCTCGAAAAAGAGTTTTTGGAGGGCACCACTGGCAGGACCAGCTTCTCTACTTTCTTTTAAAATTTCTGTCTACCTGATTACTGTTACCTTGCATTAAAAAACCTTTATCATGCTGATGCTTCAAAAATGCTTTTACTTTATATTTTACATGAAAACCCCAGGAACGCACAAGAGTCACTTTTTGTGTTTAAAAAATTATGTTTAAAACAAAAAACTAAACACTTTCAACTTTTCAAGTAACAAAGTGATAACATCAAATGACAAACAAGCAAAAAGAGCCCTGACCTTTATGAACAGGCCTGTCCACATCCATCATATGGCAAGCCTCCTTCACCCTGCTCAAGTTGATGATCTTATCCAAACAGCTTGGAGTAGTATCCTTTTCAGGACCGTCATGAGGATCTAAGTGCAGGAGGTCCGGTCCAGAGGCAGGTTCTTCTGCTGCTCATTTTAAGACATAGGAAAGAAGCGAGAGCTATACTATGTATTTATGTAGGATGAAATAAGAGGATGGAACAAAAGGAGCGAAAAAGCTATTTAAACTTCCCTACCACATCAGCTGTTTTAAATTTTTAGAGATGGTTTTTTAACACAAATAGCAGTCTTTAAGATCCAAAAAATTCCAATAACTTAAAAAATTTATCAATGGAATTTTTAAATGCAAAAACTACAGTTCTTTCAGAATATTTGCCTGATAATCCTTTATTTTTTTACACATTATTTCATGAAATCCTTCAGTTCTACATTCACGTTACATTACTTAAGACTTTGAAGGTCTCCGTTTGGTTCTATCTGAGATAGAAATTTTAAAGGAAGAATTGCCTCTTAAAATTTAGAAATACCCTTACTGTGTTGAAAGGCATTTAACTAATACCTTATTTATAAATAGCGCAAATCCCCACTCAACAGCAAGCTCTATGCGCTTCACAATCTATACTATTCCAGCAGACCTGAGAGCATTCTGAAACAACCTCAACTTCCTGGGAAGCATACAGTGCAAGCAGCCATTTATAGGCACTAAAACACTAACATACTAACAAGATCTTTCGCTGTCTCTAGCCGGGTACCCATTCCCACCTGGGTGAAATGAGGAAAATTTGTGTAAAGTGCCTTTCCCAAGGATACAATGTCAGGCCCACGGCTCAAACCCGCGAAACTGCAACCTTGCGGTTATTAGTATGGTAGCCTAACCACTAGGCCACCGACGCCACTAAAAACAATCCCCCCTACTCTAAAAAGAAATAAAGTGAGTTAAAAATTGCCACTCCACAGAGATTGTGAGCCACAACGTTACCTTTTTTCATCAAGTCAACTGTATCTTTAGCAACATCTACGACAATGCGCACATTCATGAGAGTCCAGCCATTTAGTTCTTTGAGAGCTCGCATAGCTTCTTCTCGAAAAGCGTAGCGAACAAACCTGAAACAGAAAAAATACCCAAACATGAATACTGAAATACAGACATATATTGCCATTACAAAAGACAATACAGTATCAATGGGTAAGATAAACAATCTGTTTCAAACTTGTGCCAAGCATTTTATGGAGACTCAATATATTTTAAGTGGATGCGAACAACTTACTGTTCTCAATACTTTTGCTATACTTCGAGACAAACTATGAATATAATATATATTTATAAACATTTCACAGAGTGGTATCTGAGACTTTGCTATTCAGGTGTAAAGTCAGACGTGGTAACCTACCTAGGGAGTCTTAAGATCTCATACCTGGCAAAATCTAGTTTGTTTTGTTAGTAAATTAGTAGAGGTTTTACGGCGCTCACAACTGCATTAGGTCATATGAGAGCCAAGAGGTGGAAGTCAACAGAGAAGTCCTAACAGGGAATCGGGCTTACTCTAGAATCTAGTTAAACACTGTGTCTTTGCGACAGACTTTTACACAAATTTCCTACCTCCAATTAAAACAAGAACAACATGAGAAATAGCACAATTTTTCTTACCCCCACCCCTCTTACAAAAGGGACACTGTTTTTGTATGCACTAATTTACATGACACATATTTGCATGCACAGCAAAAAAGTCCTGCAACACCATCTGTTAGTAGTATAATTTGCGACAACACCCGACAACACCCTTGCTGTGAAAGTTGGATTCCAAAACAGTCAGATCATGCCCCCAATCTTGTTCAACAACCATAAAAAGGAAAATTGAAATCATCATACTTAAAAATTAAGCACATTATAGTATACACACATTCCGTCACATACAAAATCAGATTAGCATCCTCACATTTTATAAGCCAAGAAAAAGGGTCAACATTAGATTTGCTGTACACTGGTTTTTCATTGGTACCAACATACTGTGCATGTGACATTTAAATGCTTTGTATGACTGCATAATCAATGTTTTCAGCATAAAGTAAGGCTACATTCATAAGCCACAAGGTCACAAAAATTTTCCCGGAAACAATAAAATGAAATGTAATATAACATAAATGTGTCTATCCACTTTGTAAAAACATTATACATTATAGTTTTCAACTGGTTTCAGATTAATTTTGCCATCAGTTTAGAAATTGTGAGTTTACAACACATGGTCTCTCCAAGTTCCACAGTAGGCGAGACGAAGTTGCCTTTCTATTATAACATGTCAGAGCAACTGATTTCACAGAAATTTGCAGACAACATTCCCAGACACTGACACACTAATATTAAGTTTTTACCCATATTTGTATGATCTACTCTTTCCACTTCCATCTTCAAGTATACAATAGTCAACAATTTCACCACATCCACTGAACAGCTTATAGACATCGCTCTGAAATGACAAAGAGATAAAATGCACAAATGAGATGCAAAATATGATACAGTGGAGTCCACTTATAACGAGTCCTGAAATAACGAGAAGTCTGTTATAAAGACACTATTTTAAAACCGCGTTTTTTTCCCTTCTTTATCTTAGTAAATAAAATATTGCTATTGCGCAATCAGACAGTCGCGCGAGTCGGTTATAACGGAATATTGCTACTGCTGTGCACAGCGTACAGACCAATTAAACAGATAAAACTTTGTCAGTTGAGAAAGTCGTTGGCGATCCAGCGAAACAAAGAATGGGAGAGCCCTTGCGAACCAACAATGAAGGCCAGAGCGAATGAGCAAGGAGCGTGTGACATGCGCAGACAAGCAGAACACATCGCATAATAGGCCAGCCCAGTCTAGATTATCTAGGCCTACCATGCCTCTCACTTCTCCGATGCAGGGATGGAGAAGTCAAAAATTAAATGCTGTGATGGATGGAGTGAATATGAGACGTGCGCAAGCAGACCGAACGCACCACAGGGTGTGGTGGGGTGGGGGACAACACAGCGGACGAGTTAGCCTAGAGCCAGAGCCCCTTCCTTCTGATCGCCTATGCCGTGCTGTCAACATTGCTAGTGCTAGAGAAAGAAACCTGATTCGATTTTTGATCATGTAAGACCTAGAGATCATGTTGAGCAAAATCATTATCAGGGGAAATACAAAATGGAATAAACAGAACACCAAACTCATAGAATAGGCCTACTTTACTATTTCCTTTGAATTTATTACTGGATCCCTTGCCTTGTAACTAGAATCCTGCTACAACGAACATTTCACACTGGTCCCCTCCCTCTCTTTATAACAGGAATAAATTATATGAAAAAACAAAACAAAAAAAACTTAGAACCTCATTCCAAAAACAATGCTTTTAACAAGTTCAACAAAGCTCAGACTCAATTTATTAAAGCTAAAAAGCTTTAAAAGTCACACTGACTCACGAAATCCTAATAAGCGGTGCCCATTGGCAGGATTGGTTCAGTTCAGTGGGGGTTTTTTGTTGTTTTTGTGTTTTGCGGCGCGCGCAACTGCATAAGGTCATATGAGCCCGCAGGACACATTAAACATTTTCAGTTCGTAGGAAATTTTGCCCGGGTGGCAGCCGAAGCCTACCCTTATCAATTTTAGACCACCAAGGGATTTTTAATGTGCGCAACCTGCACATGGGACCTCCAAGATTTTTCACCCTTGTCCAAGAAGTTTAATTTTAGTAAGAGTTTTATGGCACTTGCAACTGTTATGACATCCTTCAGTCTCAGGAGACTATGGATCTGCCCCGTAGGAGATTTCAGTTTCGAGAGCAGCGCTTGCTGTGGCTGAACAGGCCCACACTCGAATGACAGTCCCTGTTGCAGTGGCTGCACTTGTGAGTGGTGTCTTCCTGCGTTGGTAGCCTCTGGCTGTTCTTTTGGCGACGGCGTTTGTCTTCAGCAGCCTGTCGCAGTCTGGCTTAACCTCTGATGAGACCAGCTCGCCGGAGCGTGGTAAACAGACTTGGGATCTGCATACGGGTGAGAACTTTGACGTTGGTGACTTGGTCGCTCCACTGTATATCAAGGATGTGCCTTAGGCTGCGCATATAGTACTCTCAACTGCTGTCCTCTCTGATAATGACATGCGTCAGTCTTACTTATTCAATTACCACCAGTGCTTGCATTTCACAAGACCACTGTTTGACCTATTAAAAACAGAAATGACTGAACATCTCCTTTGCTTCCACCCTTAGCCCCACCAATCCATGTAATAAGCACAGTCAATCAATGATAAAACTTTTAAAACTGACGGAAAAATGCCTGTTTCTTTGATTTAATCATTTTGAAAAGTGCCTGATTTCATCATCATGCCATGATTTATGTGTTCTGCAACAATAAATACAGCAGTTTAGCTCCAAAAAAAATTAGTGCATGATCTGTGTGTGGGTGCGAAAATAAGATTCGGATACAGACAGTGGTGACCACCTAACAGAAAGCCCCTTGGGTGGAATTGCTGCAAATTAAATTTTAGAAAGGGGAGAGGGAAGAGGGAGCCTGATTATAACAGAATCCAGCAAATGTGAATAAAATGAAGAGATATGAAAGACTGCCGCTGCCATTTCCCCAGTGGTTCAAGTCTTGTATTTTCGTTATTTGTAACAATGCAAGGTATCTATACTATAATATGTTCACTTTCGTCTGACCAAATTAAAAAAATTCTAGTTCATTTAATAATTTACGTATATAAAACATGCTTGTTCCTTTTTATCTGTTTTCTTCGAATTTTGACTTTCTATCTACTGCAAATCTAGTTTATCATGAGAAGTATGGAAGTTTTTATATGAAATAAAAATTTTTAGCTCATTTACTAATTATCATATGTTCCCTGAATCTTTGCATGGCGCTTCAGCAGGCCAGCAACCAAACAAATTTGGGTTTTTTTAGATCTTGATCCAGTAGGCCTACATAATTTTTTCCAGTTTTTCTCTTTGGGCCCTATTAAAAACTGTTCTTTGGATGGAACTCACAAGATCAACCTAACCTTCAAATTGCTCATTTTTTTAGACTGCTACACTACCCTGCCCCCACATTTCAATGTAAACTTGTAGATTTTATCCCTCCACAGTCTAGATGTCTCCACATGAGTGTCGAAAATACTCACTCTCCATCTCTTGAATCGCGTGCGTTAAAGTTAAAGTGTGGTGTTGAGGAAAATATGTCAACTTTTTAAAAAATTTGGTGTTACAGCAGTCTCCGCCTAAACGCACTGTGCTCGGGAGGGCTCTTCATCGTGTATTTATACGGAGCGTGCGTTTACATGAACCTTTGCAAAGGGAGGAAGGGACGCAGTCATTTCATTGCCTTGGTATTCTAGTGACCCCCCTTTGGGGTGAGGGTCAATTTTTGCTGATAATGTGACGACACGTGACTGTTTTGTGAAAAGGATTCCCCGACTGCGGTTATGACTACAAAGGCGTTGAATGGGGGGGGGGGGGGGTGTAGAAAGACAGCCTCAATGTAAATTAATGTAATGAATATGCACTATAAAACGTCGGGAACAGCTAAGAGGAAACTGTTGGCGATAGTCATAGATCTAGTCATAGAGACGACGGCGCGGCCACGTGGCTTTCCAAGCGACCACCCCCTGACCGTAAATTCACGGACGACATCAGAATCATAGATCTCTACATTCAGAGAAACATTTCTCTTGTGATTCGTTGAGCAAGTACGTTATAAGAATATATAAGTTCTTCGAGCGCAACTGATTAGGCTTACTTGGCTAATATTAAACCCTGTTGAGGCCTATCTAGTGTTTTCTGCATTCACGCGTGTTGCGAACTCCTTGGTCTAACTTAACATTACACCACACGCAGTCACCCAAACACCAGTCAGAAACCTTCTCTCAAAGATGCATTTCCAGTGACCAATCAAAAAACAGTTCAGTCCCCCAACCGCCCCCCTCCCCGACCAGCCCTAGACCGAGAACCAGACCTATGTGTCTGTGGAAAGTTGGGTGTGAAAACGTCGTCCATCACTCTTAGTCTTTGTTCCCCGTGAGGGGCACTCTCACCCGCTTTTCTTGGCTTGTCTATGCAAGCTGTGCAGGTTGTAGTGAAAATTTCTCCTTCTCAAGCTTAACCTGTCAGCGTGTTTCGCAGATCGGAGCGTGCGTTTAGAGGGAGTGACCGTGCGTTTGTACGTCTAAATTATATAGTAAACCCGTCAGATGACGAAAGCGTGAATTTGAGCGGAGCGTGCTTTTGTATTGCGTGCGTTTAGGCGGAGACTACTGTACATGTATCAAGTTGTAATTCCCTATTATTTTTTTTACCCGCTTTAATCTTACATAAAAGAAAACGCGTCAGAACCTTAGCTTGCAGTGCCCTCTATTTTCATGCTTATTTTAAATAAATTTGTGTTTTATGAGTTTATGAGGGTTTATAATTGCAAGTGGCTATTCTCCTGCGTCGCGCCAGTCAATAGATTGATGGCTATTCTCGGGAACGTATAGTTGCTCATGTCGCTTCTCCTCAGCTTTCCGTCTCCCCTGTTGGCACGTTATCCGTTATGGCCATTATTGTTGCAAATGAGTTCAAAGCCAGAGGCGCCTTCTTGTACAAGCTGGTTATTGGCGCTTCTGGTGCTGTCACCTCTGAATAGAAATTCCAGTAAATTTTTACTTTTAGACCCATACACAGATGCACTGTTTTGAGGGATAAACTACCATCATTTTTGCTGCACAACACATTGCCACTAAAACCCTTGCAAATCAATTGTTTTGAAGTAAATATCAATTCTAATTGCCAAAACATCAAATTATGGTGAGGTGAAATGTAGGGGGACATGCCCCCCTGAAACCCCCCAGACTCTTTTTAGGTCAGGGGGGGCAAACCCCATGCTGTTAAAAACAAGTGAAATATTACTACGCCATTGGTCATCATCATCAATGCCTTTCACCCCTGGCAGGGTTTAGGCCACATACAAGCTCCTTCCATTTATCTGTCCTGAGCCATCCTTCCAAGCTCGTTCCAAGTGGGCTCTTCTCTGCGACGACTGGCTCGCCAGCAATTGATGCATTTCGTGTGGGGTCTAGTGTTCCAGGAGCCGTTTGCCCTTTGCTTGAAAACATTGAATTTCTTCCCGTAGTCAGGGCATGGCACCGGTTTGTTTGTGTCTGGAGAAGAAGGCCCCTTAGTGAGATCATTAGATCTGTAGGTATCTAGAGGAGGGGGCCTCTTGGTGGGATCATTCTCATACGACTGTCTCTTCTTGAACGCTGAGAGTGCTGACATGGATGTGCTAGGCGTGGCATTTCTAGCCATCTCTCGGCCTTCAACAAAAGCGATGACGTCGCTGAAGCTTTTCTTCTGAATGTCCCGTGTACTAAGGGCCTCTCTGCGAATGTCGAGGTCTGCAATTCCTGCCAGGAGGACGTCCCTGACAGTCTCAGTTGTGTAGTCGGCTTGGACAACTTCTTTGCATGTGCATT